GGCACAGGGTAAGAATGTTACAACAACAAACAGTATAACAACACGACAGGAGTGTAAAGTACAAGAAAGGTAAACAAATCACCCACTCACACATACAAATATAACGAAACCATCCCCATCCTGCAAGACAAAGCCCACTGAGGTATCAACTTATTTTTCAAAATGCGACCTAGCCACAAATGACAGCTCAACAAAGTTACTTATCATTTGGACATTTATAGCAGCAAAATAATCTAAATAGTCTCAACGCTCATCACTGCGCTACCGCTCCCCACTACGCCACTGCTTATGCGTACACGCGCAAACAGAGGAGATGTCTTTCTTTACGTCCTGAAAGATTCTAACATTTCATTGTCCAACTAATTAATTTCTGCGGCGGTCAGATAAGCGTTATCCTTTAGGTTTAATATACCTTCTAAGTGGAAAATGGCATCTGCCGCGAGTGTTTTTCAACGTGCACCGGATGAGCCTTAATCAGCCTTAATCACGCTCCAGGTTTCGTACGTGGATTTTTAGGGGCACGTTATGAACCGAGTTTTGCGGACGGAGAAACCGACATCTCTTTAAATCTCTTTTTCATTCGGGCTTCTGTGACCTCTCTCTAGTTTATTTAAACCCGCCGGGTTTTAACGAACGACACCATTTGCCATATCTGTGCCTGACCTTCGTCATTTCACCGCGAGCAGGACATTCGGTTATCCCGCCGATTTATAACGGGGGTTTTCGCGTAAGTTTAGGCTTTGCCTCGAAAGTACAGGCTAATTCAAGGGCGCGGTTGCCCCAGTATATCAGTTTATGTAACAAATCACCCTCCACCCCCCCCACAACTGCTCATTATTTCCATGAAGACAGTTGGTATTTCCGTGCTCGTACAAGCTACGAAGTGGCCAGCATCCCGTTTGGCAACCATGAGAGCCAACAGTGGAAATTCCACATTCCTATGGTAAGGGCTGGCATCTTTCTGGTGCGAACTACCGTTCAATTCTCACGAAGAGTTACGTACTGTTCTTATTTTATTATCGACTCGAGAAGAGATGATGGATTTGAACTCTTGACCTTCCGATTGCAATTCAAGTGCCGCCCGCTCCCCCCCCCCTTGCCAACGCTGCTGACCGGCCACGCAGAATTTTTTAAACAACCGTAAATCTTTTTCATCAACATTTCAAATCGTCCTCTTCAGTTGCGCCCAGCCCCCCTGCAATAAAACGAACCTGCAGTGACTCCGTCTTGCCGAGCCAAGAAATCCTCACATATTTTGCTGCCTCGGAGGATTGTCGTAACTTTTATGGGATTAAAGATATTATTATCCATAAACCTTTGAAACGGTCCAGCCTTGTCTCCCCCTCCTTCCCCCTTCTCCTCCCCAAACTGGAAGTCTTGTACTCTCTCGTTTTATCCTTTACGAACTATGTGAAAGGTTAATCCTGTCCCTTTTCTCAGTCATCCGCAGTTATTTCTCGTCTTTTTTTTTGCTGCGATCCACGTTAATAATTACGGGCAAGTGTTGTTTCTGCAGGTGTGTCTTAAACGTTTTAAAGCTGTGTAATCCCTCAATTATTTTGGATATACCAGATGCCATCTATAATTGCCATCCAAGTGGTGCAGATAGTACTTCTTATGCCCTGCAGCTATATCGTGTAACAGTGCTTAAGCTTGTATTTTTTATAATGGACGCACGATTTTCAATTACACCCACCATGTCTGGATTTGTGTGGCCCACCATCTCGTATTTAACGTTTTTCAATCCAAATTTGAAAGCACTCTGTCCATCCATCCCTAACGGTTTTTGGTAGTGGGGTGGGGTGGCGATGAGAGGGGGTTTGTGGTAGGTGGACAGGATCGTGGGTGGTGGAAGCCCCGCTAACTCTCGTAAAGACAATCCAATTTGAAGAAAACTTTAGTATAAAGTTACCATGCTGAACGAGGAACTTTCCCTCTCGAAAACCCGGCCAAATCGAATTGAACAAAGGTGTGGTACCAGCTTACGTTTGGGGATCCATCCCTGAGTATGAGCCCGTTCTGCAACAGACTCAAAAGCGGTGTTTCAGAGAGCCTACTTCAATGTGTGATCAATGTGGGATCAATGTGGGATCAATGTGGGATCAATGTGGGATCAATGTGTGATCAATGTGGGATCAATGTGGGATCAATGTGTGATCAATGTGTGATCAATGTGGGATCAATGTGCGATCAATGTGTGATCAATGTGGGATCAATGCATATTCGTGATGGACTGAACTGGTAAAAGTGCGTAAGAACAAATGTTCTCACTTTTTCCAAATTCTTCGAGACACAGAACAGGGCAAAAGGCTGCCGGCATCGTCTCCCGCGCCGCCGCCACAATGTACTCCTTTCGAAGAAAGGACGCGCGCCAGAAAGCGTTACGTCGTGATCCGTGCGCGCGTGGTTTTTTTTAGTCCTCATTTTGTGTTGTGTAAGAGAAAGCTGAGTGCCCAGAGAAAGGAATTTTTTAAATATAATTTCGGTGGAAAAATACTCGTGGCAGGTCCCTCGACAACCTTGTTACTCCACTGCCACGCGGCTGTGTGTCGCATGCAATTGATGATCTCCATCTTTCCGTCATCCAACAACCCCACCACCGAGCCTTTCGGATGTGGCCGTGCACCACCACCACCACCACCGCTCTGCGAGTCACTTGGTCGTTATCGTCACCATCGTCATCAGACTTTGTCCACTGCTGGATGAAGGCCTCCCAAACGCTGACGTCCGTCGCTCGAGTTCCTTGCGCCGGCGCGAGCCGCCTCGCTCCTCGTGCGCACGGATTGACGTCGCCAATCGACCGCTAGGCTTGGTCATCATCCTCGCGGGCGCATTCTTTCCTCTTATTTGCCACTGATCGCTTGAGTACTGTGCACCCAACACATTCGTCAATACCACCGTGGGATTGAAAGGAAAAAAATATTTTAACAGGCGATGTTTCGGGCAACGACCCTTATTCATGGTGCTATGAAACAGAACAATTGGCTGGAACGTCACCTCTGATATGTTTTTCCTTTTCAGGCCACAGTGTTATCAACGGATGTGTTTTCTTTTTTGGTTCGCTGTGCTTGTCAATGCAGCAGCGTCACCAACATCATTTTATTTGAAGACCGTGTGTGGATTGTTTCATCGCAGGATTGTTGAGAGGTTGTGGCGGCTTGGGTTTAGGCCGTCATCCAGCAGTGGATTTACCAAAGCTAGTGAAATTGAAGATGATGGTGATGATGATAGAGTATAATGCCAGTGGAATGAATTAAGTCATGCTTGAGTGATCCAGCGGTTTCTTTCGGTTTAAAGTGTACTTTCGTTCAACTCGGTGAGTCCCCTTATTTAAATGCTGATACAGCTCCAAATACCACACACTTGTTAATAAGTGCCTTCAGAGGTTAAGTCAATAGGGCCCATACGGCTCGTGCTTCGGAGGAAAAACGTGAAGGTGTGTGAATCAATAATTTATTAGAAGACGCGCAACCCGTGCTTTCTTCACACGCAACTTTTTTAAGGAGTCCCATTTTTTCCTCCCTCTGTTTTTTGTTGCTCAAATCGACACCGTGGGTGTCGCAACGTCACGGGGGAAGAAACATGTTCCGCTTGGAGCTCGCGCTCGAACAGCGGGGCAGTCGCCCGTTCGAGAACGGCCCGTGGAATGTGGTGTCGCGGCACTGCGTCTGAGATCCGAAGAGTTTTCACCACCTTTTAGCGGACACTGTAATTTACCATGTCCCCTGCACAGATAATTTTTCGCTGCATGGCAGCCAAACTAATGCAGTCAATTCTCAGTGCTGGAATTTTTACTTGAATGAAAAAAAAAATACATTTAGAGGAGAGATAATAAAAGTGATGAAAAGAATAATATTGAATCAGAATATCCACTTGCATCGCGCCGCATAGTATTTGTTCACTCTCGAAGCGAGAGGCGTGGGGAATCGCAGGCAAGCGGGGGAAGGGCGGGGGGGGGGGGCAGCCACGCGATAAAGCCGGCGCTAGCAATTGTCTTAAGCTCTGCGGTCCTCTGTACATTGGGGATGTGACCGGCAAATAAATGCGAATGTGTTTTACACGTGGGAAGAAAGCGGAGTGCCCGGTGAAAGCTCACGCATGCGACGGGACAAGCACCTCCTCAATGCCCACGGGGAAGGGAATTTGAGAGTGTTTCTGTGATCAACCAACAACCCTCGCTTTCTCGACAAGTGCTGGATTACAGGCCACGTGCATAGCCGCCGCCACCACCGCCCGGCTACGAATGTCACACAAAAGTTAGAATCCACAGAATGCTGTGAGACAATTTTGAAAAGCTTTGAGAAGTGAAATTGTCGAAGCACGAAAGATGGTTTAAGATGTCAGAACAAGCTGATGGAAGCATAAAAGTAGCATAATGGGGGGGGGGGGGGGGGGGGGGTTGGATGATTGGTATTTCACAAATATTATCCTAGGGCCGAAAGATGGAATCATAACTCATGTTAGGGAGAGAATGTGAGAATTAGTGGTAGGAATGTTACGCATGTCTCTGTATCACCAAAAAGGTACGTATCCCAGGAATAAAAGCCATTTTTCACGGAAAGTGTAGGAAGTTCCTGATGTCACACCTTTTTAAATATAGAGAGCATTATCATGTTATTATGTCTGATACATTTCAGTAAATATTGTCTGCGTTTCTGAGGTTGAAGTGAATCAATGGTGCTCATTGCTTCGCCTTCCTCGTCATCATCCTGCGTCTCTTCGTCCCTTCCTTCGATTCATCTTCCACCACTCCTTACCTCTGTCCCTTCTCATTTTCATTCCCCAATCGCTTTTCTCTTCCTCCATTCCCTCCTACTTCTCATTCTCTTCCTTTCCCTCTCCCTCCTTTTCTTCCTCATTCCCCTCCTCATCCTCCATCTTATCATCATCTTATCAATGCCTCTCCTCACCCTCCTTCCACATCTCCTAATCTTCCTATCCCTCCTCTCTCCCTCCTCTCTCTCTCATCTCCCCCCTCGTTCACCACCGGTACCCGACAGGTGTACGTGAATGCCGAGCTGGTGACGAGCATCGGCGAGGGCGGCAGCTTCGGCGAGCTGGCGCTCATCTACGGCACGCCCCGCGCCGCCACCGTCAAGGCCAAGACTGACCTCAAGCTGTGGGGCATTGACCGCGACAGCTATCGCCGCATCCTCATGGTAAGAGGCCTGATGGGAGACCTGGTGATAAGCCTGGTTTGAGGGCCGGTGATCGGGCCCTTGAGAGGGCTGGCGAGAGGCCTGGCGAGTGGACAGGCGACAGGCCTGGCGACAGGCCTGGCGAGAGGCCTGGTGAGAGGGCGATGCCATTCTGCACAGCCTTATGATCCATTTCACTAGGACCAGGCACAGTGATATCACTGGAAGTGACAACGCGGGAAAGACATCGCGATTCGCTTTTGCCTCCGTTGCTTCTGGTTGGCTCGCTAAGAAGCTTTGGCCGGCGATCTTAGGGAACCGCTGGTTCATTCAGGTGGCAATGATGAGTGCCAGTCGCCCCGTAAAAAACGCTCCATGTGGATTGAGTTTTTTACACTCCTGGCAGTGCCTTGCCATGTCGCCACCCTCGCCCTTCATGCCGGGCAGCTTTGCATTGGGTGCGATAATAATTGTGAGGTATTTAAGCAAGTACCAAAGAAAGTGTCGATGAGTCTCAATACTATTTTCAAGAAAGTCCTGCATTCGGACGTTTGAAGGCTTTCCATTTTAATGAGCATTTTGCATCGTGTGGGTGACAATGGGACCATCCAGAGAATCGCGCTCGCCACACAAGGAGATGGCGCTTCAGAGGGTCCCCACGGATGGGTTCACAATCCCACTTGCTGTGTCGCCATCTCACGCCCCACCACAAGCGGAGAGAAAGCAAGCGGCGGCCTGGAGTGGTTTGCATCATCGGCATTGGCCTCGATGTGCCACCTTGGTCTCGCTTCCCATAGCTCTGCATCACTGGCATATGCACGTATGGATCGCGCACCACTTAGCCGCCACCTCGCCGTACGTGCTCATATTAACGCCGCGCGATGATGGCTCTTCTGAATATATGACGGAGGAGGGGGTAGGCAGGGGTCAGCCGGTAGAAGGCTTGCATTCACCACAAATCGCCACCTCCCTTCCCAAAACAAATAAACCCTTCCTGTTTTTGCGTGCGCTGCTAACGCACGTGTGTGCGCGTTGCGCCACCGGCGGCGGTGGTGGCATCCGTTCGTCGGCCGTCTCTCACGACGAAGCGTGCGCCCCTTGTGCGCGCGCACGCGCAACCCTTTCATAAATGATCCTGGCCATCGCCTCCGTAAGCCAGCCAGCCTCTCACGCACCCCACCCCAAACCCCCTCCGCTCCGCTTCTACGACCTCTTCTTCCACCGTCGCACAGCCTGCTTGTGTTACCCAACTGCATAATGGGCTCCTGTATCACGCCACTCCCCTGCCGGGCTTGCGGCAAACGCATTCACGGCTACAGCGCATGCCTTGAGCCGTGTTCTGCATTGGCTCGCAGGATGAGATTAAGGTGTGTGACCGGGTGGCCTGGAGGTCAGAGTCGGCATCCGAAGAATCGGAATATTTTGTTCATACTACAGGAGGAATCCCGTGATCGGTAAAGCTCTTTTTCGCAGATGTCCAGTCGGGGCTGGTCAAAGTTTACATCAATTGAGTCCCCCCCACCACCGCACCGCCTTGATTCAGTTCTGGGTTTCGACCACAGATTGAGTTCTCAATTGTAGCGAGTTGATGGAGCATGGCCCAATCACCAACGGTGATAAATGGGTTTTGTTTTTTCGCTTTTAATTTGGAAGAATCTTCGGAGCGACGCAAAACCACAGATGTTAGTTTTGCTGTCACGTGAGTTGATTTTGTCTCTCGTGTGGCTTGTGGAAAGTGCTACTGCCCCGAGCGTAGGGTGACAGATCACTTGAAGACATCTCGAAAGTAGTTCTAGGATATAACCACATGCTCTGTGAGACGAGACAAGACAAATCATTAGCGTCATTGTGGAGAAAATAACAAAATTGATAAGCAGGCAATGTCAACTTTATATATCTCTCTGTCCACATGAAACATTTTTGAAAGTTTTTTTTTGTGGCGTGTAAGAATCTGCGTGGACAAATATTCATCTCGTGCCAGGACACCGACAGGGCAATTTGACGAAAAATTTCGAGGGGAAAAAAAAAAAATGAAAAGGATTAAGACGTGAGCTGTCAAACCGTGAGCTCTGTGCAGAAGTTGCTGGTTATATAATCTCGCCACGAGCTGTTGGTTTGTAAGCCACTGCCACCACCATCAAGCCCAAACGGCCGTCCATCGGCAGGAGTTTGGCGGTGCGATGTTCGCTTAAAGCAGAGGGGGCGGGCGGGGGGGGGGGGGCTTGCGAAGTACATCCGATATTTCCTGAAAATTAAAAAGTCGCCCGGAACTTTCTCAGTTTGCTTGACATACTCTCCTGTGTGTGTGTGTGTACGCAATGCACACGCACGCACGGCCATAATCTCACCACCACCACCACCACCCGCCACCCCTCCCCTGCTCCTGCCTATTGACAGTTTTTCGCAGATTGCAGGAAAAATATTTGCCCGGCTAAAACATACTCCGGTGAAGATTTAGAGCTGTAATGGTATTTGTCCACTTATTAAACTCTGGCTGTCACCTGCTGTAGCAAGCTGCCTATCGGGCAGAAGGGCTCACCAGATAGATCGGAATGTTACCACTTTATGGGTTTATCTGCAGTGCATGGGCCAGATTTCTGCTGAGCCATTTGTATACTCTTTATAGCCTTTCGAGGATATCCCAGGGCTCCAATCAGTGCCAGCAAAGCCACGAACAAACAGGGCTTTAAAAGTCTCCCACAGCAGGTGCGGTTATGGCCGGTTATTGTTGGTCGTTGTAAATAAATCCCATGATCCCGTTGCCACACTTCACACTTTACTTGGCTCACTCACCGCTCAGTTACTAGCGAATTGGGGCTCACCTTTGTGAGGTTGTGGATTCAGCTCCTGTGGCTCATGTCAAGTTTCGTTCTTCATTCCGCAAAATCACCAGCCATGAATAAGCATCAAGATCCACGATTTATCTTAACGGTTGCTGATCGAAGGCCTCTCCAAGCCACCGCCGCCATCTCCTGCTCTCCTGTGATGTAACAAACCGCCGAGCACCTCCTGCGGACGAGCAGATTTCATCGCTCCATGTCCGCGGATGGACGTCCTCCGTTTTTCTCGCTCGTCAGAGACCACCCCTTCTATCCGATCCCCCATTCCTCCAGGGTTTAGTAAAATATCTGCGGACAGGCCATGAACCCCACGTGCTGCCATGGCATCTCTTGCACTGTGGACTCACTTCACATGAGTGAGACTTGCGTGCTTTGCATGGTCCACCAACCCTGCCTGCATCTAACCGACCATGCCCAGCCACCGTAGGCAGGAGGGTTCACATGCATTCTGAAGGTGTCATCCGCAGTACTAAGACACATGGTGAATAGAATGGGGGGGACGATTACAGGGTTAGCCACCGATGTTAGCCGTGGCATGGGATTGGAACCCACGTTGCCGGGTTCGCAGAGCGACGCGCTATCCCCACCGGGTAGCGCCATTGAAAACCTGACCGTACGCGCTCTTCTCCCGCAACGAACGCTCGCTAAAGTTTTGGTTTTCACACGGGAGGCCGCCTGGCCTGTTGGCCAGTGGCGATGTGGCGGATCAGAGAGAGAGTTACCTACTTTTTGTAACTTACGCTAAAACTATTTTTTTAGCTCCTTTTTTCAGAAGCAACCTCACCACAAATCATAGCTCAACGTAGTGGCTTGTCACGTAGAAATTTATACCAACTCCAAACGCATGTTGATTCTAAATGTGGAGGGAAAAACCGGAGGACCCGGAGAAAAATCCACGCGACCACGGGGGAGAGAGACACCGCAAACTCGAAATATTCAACAGGCTTCAGGGTCGGGATCGAACGCACGACCTGCCGTATACCAGGCGAGGTAGTTAACATCTCACCACCGTGGTGCCCCTTTGGTGGAATCCCAGCCGGCTCAGACCCCAGCCAACCTGAGCCCGTGGACTCGTTTTTTTTTTTTTACGGAACGGCCGCCTTTGCTGCATGTAACCAGAAAACGTTGTTTTCTTTGGAATAATCACCGGTATTAGATGACAAACACTAACACACTTAACTAAAATAAATAATGGGCAGGAGAGCTGCTTTTCATCCCCCGGAAAGGAAAAAAAACCGAGCAAGCGTCGACTGAGGCTGCAGTTTCTTGCGGGATTTGATTTGACTCCTGCCCCGTAACCTGTCGTGGGTTGCACGGGCTGTGGAATTTGGCAGCACTGCGGTATAGGAAACCCATTAGTGGCCTCCAGTGTATGTAAACATGGCACTGTGGACCTGGGAAAACAAATGGTTTGGTCATTGGTGGCTAATAGCGTATACGTGTGTGTGTGTGTGGTGCGTCTGTTCATTCCTGTGTCACTTTTGTTCCTCTCTTCTCTGTTGTGTTTGTGTGTGTGCGCTTCGTGTGTGTGCGAGTGGTGTGTGTGTGCGCTTCGTGTGTGTGCGAGTGGTGTGTGTGTGTGTGCGAGTTGTGCGAGTGTGGGGAGTGGTAGTATAGCGGTTGGTGTACTGCACTACGAACCCAGCGATGCTGCGGGTTCATTTCCCGCTCACGGTCAACACCAGTGACGAATATTTGAACCGGTCCTGGGCCTCCCCTAGGTCTATTCAGACTCAATTGAGTACCTTTTGCGGTGTGTAAACATCGCCACTAAGTAGACAAAGGTGGCCGGGCGTCTTGCTTGGCCACCCACCCACCCCCTCGTGTACCATGGCAGACCTTCATAGGTGCTCGCTTACAGCACTTGCCCCAAAAGTATGTTCAGGCTGTACAGGGGATTTTTGTCTTTGTCGTGTGAGTGGTGGCACATTGGTGAGCACGCTGCGAACTGGGGAAACAAAGATGGTTGGACATGGTACTGGTCACACACCGCCACCTTTAAATGCCGTGACGGCCTTTATTGGGTCTCGAAAATAGCACTTGCCCCAACAGCCTGTTGGGCTACACGGGGGACCTTTGTACATGTGCATAGTTGGTGGTTGGTGTGGCTTGTACTTCCCCGTGTCACATGTGCATGCACATGTGCCTTCGCGTGTGTGCGTGTGCGCAATTGTGGGGAGCGGTAGTGAAGCGGTTGGCGTGCTGCGCTATGAACCCAGTGACCTGAGTTCATTTCCCGCTCACGGCCAATACCAGTGACGATTATCTGAACCGGTCCTGGGCCTCCCCTAGGTCGACTCAGCCTCAAACGAGTACCTGATGCTATGTGTATATATCGCCACTGGGGAGACAAAGGCGACCGGGCGTGGTGCTGGCCACCCCCCCCCCCTCATGTGCCGATGTGCCGTTCAGGCCTGCATAGTTGCTCGCTAAACGGCACTTGCCCCAACGGTCTGTCAAGGCTACACGGGAAATCTTTTGCAAGATTGTGGACAAATTTTTACGAGGTGTGTACTTGCGCGTGTCAATGCATACGTGGACGCGTGTGCATGTGTAAGTGTGTATCCATAAGCATCTGAACGCTTGCACACCTACATCTGTAGGTATCTTCACACTGGTGGCTTCTGTTGTGCATACCTTCCTCTGTGTGTGTGTGTGTCTGGCTTACCTATGCTCCATGCTGGGTTTAACCAGACTGGATTGTGTGAGGAGCTCACAAATCCTTGAAAGATCTGGGTACAGTCATCAGTGAGCTTCTCTTGCAGTCAAGACTGCGTTGACTGGGTCATGTAGCCTGCATGCCCATCCACCGCATGCCCAAGCAGCTTCTGTTTGGCGGGATAGAGGGGACTAAACGGCCGCGGCATGGGCTGGTGAAGAGATGGACTGGTGTGGTACCGGAGGATAAGTGGATTTACCGAAAGCTGGTCCCAGTGGTGTCCTCTGGGGGAGGAGGTTCGTGAACAACGCTACTGGGCAGTTGAGGGCAATTGTCCTCCATCAACAACGGAGGGCAGAGGAGCGAAAAGGCAGCAAATTGGCACAGTGGGGAACACAGGTGGTGCATCTGCTGGTCGTCTTAGCCAACACATGGCACCTGGGTCTGTCCCGTGACCTGGGAGCTGGGAGGAGCAGCGAGCCTTCGACACTTCACATGGCCTCGTGGTGCTCCTAACCGGGCACAAGCACCAGACTTGCTGCTTTTGCGTCTCGAGCACGCACGCTCGCTCACTCGTGTGTGTGTGTCCCGTAGTGGGGAGCGGTAGTGTAGTGGTTAGCGCGCTGCGCTATGAACCCGGCGACACGGGTTCGATTCTCGCTCACGGCCAACACCAGTGACGATTATCTGAACCGGTCCCGGGCCTCCCCTAGGTGGACTCAGCCTCAAATGAGTACCTGGTGCGGTGTGTAAACATTGCCACTTGGGAGACAAAGGCGGTCGGGCGTGGTGCTGGCCACCCACCCCCTCGTGTACCGTTCCACGGCCTTCATAGGTGCTCGCTAACAGCACTTGCCCCTACAGTCTTAAGGCTACATGGGGGATCTTTGTCCCGTGAGTAACCCCTCGCACGCTTGGCTTTGCCGGCCCACAGGGCAGCACGCTGAGGAAGAGGAAGATGTACGAAGAGTTCCTCAGCAAGGTCTCCATCCTCGGTGAGTTTCATACCAACACCCCCCCCCTCCCCTCTCGGCGGCCGCCGTTTGTCACGTCTGGCGCCATTAATTCAACGCCGGGCTTGGCCTCAGTTCTGTTTCAAACGAGCCGGCTCAAAAAGTCGCTCGCTTAACTGCAGCCGGCTCAGGGCGTTGTACCGAGCTGCGCTCAGGATTTCTCGTGAGCTGAGCCTTGGGCAGCACGCCACGGCCGAGCGGCTCAAGGCATGTGCCGAGCCGCGTTAGAGACACCAACTCCGGGGCCGTGCCGCCGCTAAGAATACAACTGCTGCCGCTGTCGGGGCGAATCGGAACAGGAATCTTGTCTCCCGCGCGTGTAATTTCAACTCGTGACACTTTTGGCACGCGTCATCTTGGACCGGCGAATGTGTTTTGACGTGAAGCCCAAAGTGACTTGTGCTCGAGACTAAACATTTAGAAGCTCTCCCGCTCTCGCAGCGCCGGGCGTCCAGACGCGCGCGCGCGCGCGCTCAAACTCACCAGGGCTGACTTTAATAAATAATAATAATTAGCGGCTGACGTCACTCCACATGGGGGGGGGGCGAGGCACCTCCTCTCCCCTCCTCGGCGTCAACTCACAACCCTCACGACAAAGGCAGAACCCTCACGTCACGCGATCTCCGTCACGCTGTTGAGACATCAAAGTAAAAAGGACGTCTTGATGAACAAGGGATTATAACCCTTTAAATGAAATATGTCTGTGTCACCGCGCCCTTACAAATTGCACGCGAATTGATGCAATGAATATATCACGTGGTGGTCTGCCTTTCGCTCGCAAGTTTCAGATTTACTGCAATTCTCCCGTCCTTGGACGGGCAAAAGGCTTGTACTTTAATGTTCTTTGGGGCAACTGGCTTTTGTCGGAGTAATGAAGAATGTATCACGCTGCCTCTTTGCCTATTGGGGTTTATTCCCGTGGCTGCGGGGGGCAGAGCACCTGAAACCTTGGCCTGGCATGCTTGTGGGAGTCGTTATAAATAAAAAGTTCGGCTTCGTGAGAAGTTAATCATAATTACTTTGTGGAGCCATGTATTTGTCCCGTATTATTTATATACATATAATTTTACCCCCAGCATGGGAATGTGGAATTTACACTTGGCTTAGGACTGTGACGGGTACTTGAGCAGGAAGATATTTCAGCCGGCACCATCTCCCACAGTTCTGCGATGTAGGAATCCATTTAGTGGCCACACGCACTGTCGCACGGTTTCATCACTCCGTCTCCGCGGTGAACGTCCTCTTGGGCGTTCCCTTTCTTCGACGACCACTCCCAACGTTGGGCTTGCCCAGACGTGCGCACGCACACGCACACACACACGCAGTCCTCAGCGAGCTGAGCGCTAATGAAACACGGCCATTCTTGTGCGGTCGCTTCATCGCACGAGCGCGTGAGATGTGCACAGGAGGTCGGAGGAGGCATTCCCGTGCCCACCGCACGTTCCACCATCTCCCTCCCCCCACCTCCCTCCCTCGCCATCTCCTCCCATCCTGTATCGTCTGAATTTGCAATGCCATCCCAGACGGACGTTTTCCTACACACTCGGACATTAATTCCTGGAATCAAATCGTGGCCGTGCAAACAGAAATGCCTGCGTGAGCGAGGAGTTGGACGGTGGTTTTCTTGTCGGATTTCCCAATGTAAACAGTTATAAGAGGCACGTAGAAGGGAAATAATAAAATAAAACAAATTAATTCTCACGACGTTTCGATTTCCCTTCTACGTGACTTTACCGAAAGAACCAAGAATATGAATCCCTGCAGCCACGAAAGCTTGAAATCGAAAGTTATAAGAGTTTTCCGTGGGAGGTGGCCCTGTAACGTTGTGGGTTTTTGGCTTCCGATGGGTAACATGTTAAATGGTCTCAGCTTGGTCACTCCGCTGTTTGCACACACAAATCAACTCCGTGTAGGTGTCCACTTCACATTTCGTCATTTGTTTCCACACTCTGCACTGTCTTGTGCCAATACGCTCAAGTGGTGCCACATCTTTCTGCCACAGATCTCTTACGTCGTCATCATTGCTTCGCCGAGATTAAAACAAAAAAATGTAAATGAGCAAATTGCGTAACAGTGCGCTTGGTAACGATGCCGCTGCTTGGATTTTAATACCCGGATTGGCGCGGTCCCCTTAAAAACGGGCGGTGTGAAAGACTGAAAAAAAAATATCTATACGGGACAGACGAGACCAGTGCAAACAAGACAAGGGTACAAACGAAACATTGTAGAAAGATTCGGTGCACATGCTCGACCCATATTCTACAACTAAACTGAACAATTTATTTTTTTTAACCGGGTAAGGCCCCACTGAGCTGCATAGCTCTTTGTCAGAAGCGAACCTGGCAGTCGCAAATGATAGCTCAACAAAGTGGCTCATCGTCGTGTGGAAATTTGAAGCGGCCAAATACTCTAAACGTGTGACGTTGATTCTAAATGTGGGGGGGGGGGGGGGGGGGGGGGGGGGTAGAAACCGGTGGACCACGGGAGACGGAACATGCAAACTACCAAATATGCAGCAGGCGTCGGGGTTTGTGATCGAACCCGCGACCATCTCCTGCGTACCGGGCGAGGGAGTTAACATCTCCGCGGCGCCCCACGATCTAGACGAGGTGCCGTGAAGAGTTGAAGAGGTTTTTGTTGTTTTTGAAACGCTACGGCTCTTAAAGTCCTTGGAAATGGCCCAGCGAGTGGCGACGGCATTGTCGCTCGAATCCTGACATCCACGGTGTGAGCGTTCCAACCCACAATGCATTGAGGTCAGAGGGCTACCTTTTTGGTCAGTTCTATTGTCCTCGCAAGCAGGATTTACGGGCAATGAGTTCATTTAGTATTGTCCCTCAGCTGTGATTAATAGCGTCGTTAAACGGTCCGAGAGAAAATGATTAAAAATTGTCTCCCGTTCGTTGCTCACAATCGAAACAAAAAACAAACGCTGTTTGATGACAAAAATCTAATCGCCCGCTCCTTATCAAATCAAATGCATTGAATCGCCAAACAGACGAATCGATTGTTGTCAAAGCAGTACATTGAATCGTGAAGCAGTTGATCTGGCCCAACTAACTGATCTGGCGGAATTGATCTGGCCCAACTGACTATTGAAGGGTCCTCGCTGATCGTAATCGTGTGACCTCTAACCCTCTCGGGGGGCCATTCCTTGACGCAATGTCGTCTGCACCTAACCCAATAACTTTTAAGATACAAAAAAAACTGGTGACATCCTATCCTACATTGTCACCCCCCCCCCCCCCACCCCTTATATGTCGGTAATCAATAACAATCGCTAGCCTAATCAACTTGTGTTTTGCGTTATTTACGTGTGTGTGCGCGTTTTCGTTTTATCCGGGACACCCCTGCCCGCTACAATCGAGAGTTGAGCTGTACTCCGTCCGTTGGCACAATGAGCGGGCGTTACAAAACAAACTCAAGTCGGCCACGAGGATTTGCGATCTCTCTCTCTCTCCGCTGCTGTCTCATTAGCAGCGATGAACAACGGCGGAGAGAGGAGATTTGGTGGGGGCGGGGGCGGGCGTGCGTGTCTGTGTGAGAACAGACCCGGGAATTATTCCGCTTTCCGGGACGAATGTACCGCAGAAGGGGGTTGGGGGGGTGGGAACGGGAGGGGGGGGGTGCTAGACATTTTTTAATCGTGATGCAGCCGAGCACAGCGATACATTAATTATTTAGAGCAAAGTCAACTTTGAGAGCGAGCTTGTTCCGTTCGTTGGCTCGCTTAACGATCTGAAGTCTGCCGGTCAGATTTTTTGGACGTACCCGTTTGTGAATTGCATGGTATGTTATCCGCAATTCCCCTGGAGAAACTTAGACGTGTACTTGTACAGTGTGTGTCGTCGTGTTTTGGGGGGGGGCGGGCGGGCGGGCGGGCGGTGGGGTGTGGAAATGAGACCCTTAGGAGAATGTACTGTCTATACAAGGCGAGGAGGATTCTACGGGGAAACTGAAATGTTTGTGACCTCGGGCTCGTTGCCATCACCCGCAAAAAAGTCCGGTCGCTCGAGAGAGAAATTCGCGCGGAATTTCATTTTTTTTCAAATCGGTAACTATCATTTCCAAAGTTCGCTTCGACGTTGCTAACTTTAACCCAATGGTGTGGATTTTTTTGGCTGGGCGGATGGCTTGTTTACGACGCAGTGCTGGTTTTTTGGCCCGCGCGTCATTTCGTCTCACTTGTTTCATCTTTTCCCACTGCAACGCGTTCGCAGACCCACCATTCACCACCCCCCCCCCCCCCCCAAAATTGGTGAATACCTGAATGTGAACTTTGATCTCACCTTAATATCCAACCACGCGGCTCGACAGCAGAGCTGACGGCCTGCAATGATAATGCTGAGTTCAAATTCTGGTTAGAGTGTTGACTCTGCCCATCATCCATGCTGGCTTCTATAAAATGATTTAAAGCTTTCATGACTGCAGGGATTCATATTATTGGTTCTTTCGGTAAAGTCACGTAGAAGGGAAATAATAAAAAATAAGCAATTATTCTTTTATTATTTCCCTTCTACGTGACTTTACCGAAAGTACCAAGAATATATAGTAGTTGTCTTGTAGATAGCCTTACCCCCCCCCCCCCCCCACCATAGGAATGTATAACCTCCACCACTGGCACAGTGCTGTAAACAATTCCTCAATGCGCATGTGAGTTAGGAGGATCACTACACAGTGGAACATACATTTATTCGAGCAAGCGAAACGGACCGTACGCCGACACGGCAGCCACAAGCGCCGTGCACCGCGATGTTGTGCGGTGTCGGCGCTTGAAGTCTGGGGCTTCAGAGTTCCGGCGGTCCCGCTTTAAGTCCCTCGCGGTGCAACTCGCGTTTCGTTTAAAAAAAAAAGCGGCAGCCGCCCCCCCCCCCCGCCCCCAGCACGCTCTCGCGCCAATTGCTGGCAGAAGGGCCTCCTCTTTCGATCCCGCACGAGTTGTGTTTGGTCTGCTCCTGCGCGTCGAGAGGGCTCGTGCTGTA